TAAAGCCTTTAAAAAGTATTCCAGTCATGAAGTGTGTGTTGAGCACCTATGATAGGTTGGTCACTGACGAAGAATACAGCAATGAGGCAAAGTTCCTGCTCTCACGTTCTTCTCAGTCTCATGGAGAAGATGGACCAGTAGATGATTGTGACAAGGACTCTGGTAGTTCAGGCCAGGAGTACTTAACCTGCAGATGAAGGTAAGAGGTCAGGAGTCAGGGGCCGGGTAAAGATTTCCTGGAAATTGAGGAGCGACCAGATTGACCAAGATGGGAGAGCACTCCACGGGGGAGGATCTTGGATAGATGCATGAGTGAACGTGGCCTGTTTAAGGAACTGAAAGCTGTTCTATGCCAGGTGTGTGGTGTGTGTGAAGTGGCTAGAAGTGAGGCTGGCACGGTAGACAGGGACTTGTCACAAGGGGCTGTGTTCGCCTTGCCAAGCATTTTAGATTATATCCAGAATTGAGTGAGAAGCCAGTATTCCTAAAAATGGCTGTCCCCCTCCCCAGTTCATAGAATGAATGTTAGAACAAAATTTTCAAAAATTAGAACATATAGAAAATATGAAGGAAGAAATAAAAATCACCTTTAATATCAACTAGAAATAACTGCTGTTAACATTTTAGTATATTAGTATAATTTAGTATATTGGTATAATTTTAGTGTATTTCTAACCAAGTATGTTTCTATGCATAGGCTCATAAGAAAAGCATGATTTTATTGCAAAATATAGTTTGTATCCTGCTTTCTCTAGTGTAATATTGTATGTCAGCATTTCCCAGGCCATGCTGTTGAAAGTTTTTTGAGAACTTAACTTCTAATGACAACATATAATAGCCCACAAGGTGACTATAGTTTATTATACTTAAATATCTCATAATGGGTTAAATTTTAAGTTGCTTGCATTTAAAAAATTTTTACTATTACCAATAATGTGATAAACAGCTTTGTAAATTTGTATTCACATCTGATTATTTCCTTGGGATAAATCTCGTCATGTCAGTGGTTGCCTTTTAAGCAGGAGTGTGATGGACTCACTTGTGTATAAGAGTCTTCATGGGCTGGGCGCTGTCTCTTATACACATCTAGATGTGTATAAGAGACAGCCACTGCACTCCAGACTGGGTGACAGAGTGAGACTCCATCCTCAAAAAAAAAAAAAAAAAAAAAAAAGCCTTTGTGACTGCATTGGAAGGGTGGATTGGAAAGAGGTGATTGGAGGCAAATGGACAAATGCAGATGCTATTGGAGCAATTTAGGTAATATATGAGGGCATAAGTTACTGGCAGCATGGTTAGAGAAAACAGAGAGAGTAATGATTCTTAAGGTGTATGTTTGCATAACAGAGCTTTCAGTGAATGTAATGAAAGCTATCAACATGTTTTAAATATCAACTCAGGGGTTGCAGGGCCTCTAAAGTGGCTGTAAGGAGAAGAGGGTGACAAGAGTTTAATGGTTCTTTTCTCTGAGATAGGAAATACCAAGGAGGGAAGAACAGGTTTGAAGGGTTGGCCTGGGAAGAGGGAAATTGTCAGCTCAGTATTAGGTGTGTTGCCTTTAAGGACACTGAGGTAAAACTGTCAGGAAGACAGTTGGCAGGATGTTAGGTTGTGGAAGTCATCCCCGTGGAGATGCTGATTCTGAGACCCTGGAAATGACAACGGTTCTAGAGATCAGGGTGTTTAAGATAAGAGGATGCAGGACATAACCTGCAAGAAGACTTACTCCTAAGTCAGAGACAAGGGGAAACTAGAAAAGGAGCTGTGAGATAAGTATGAAGAAAACCAGAAGAGAATACTGTTGAAGAAGCCAAGAGAGGCAAGCGTTTCAAAGAAAAAGCTATCAGAAAAAGCTTTCAAATGATGCAGAGGTCAAGCAAGAAAAGGGCGGAGGGTGTCCACAGGAGCAATCTCAGTCACCTGTAGATGGGGACAAGCAGATTCAGGTTGTGCAGAGGCAAGCCAGATTGTAGCGAAGCAGTGTGGAGTACACAGAGCCAAGGGAGTTGTGGGCTTTTCTCTAAGATAGCTTGTTTGAGGGGCTGGAGAGGGCAGTGGAGGCAGCAGAGGGTTCACTTTTTCTTCCTGTTTATATTAAATTAGGAAAGCTAGATTTACGAATTGTCATATGACTTTAATTACCTCTCCAACATTTGCTTTTTACCATGTTTAAAATCCTTTTATTGGTGATGTGCTTTTGAACACAGTTTACCGTGTCCGAGCTTCCAATGAAAGCACTGTTGTTTAAGCTCCTAGCATCTTACCTCAAGTTCTGTTGGAACCGGGTGAGACCTCATGTTTGCATATGCGGTCTCACTGAGTTTTAATAAGACTCAGTTTTTAAGCTTCAGCAAGTAATATTTGGAATTGCACTTTTTAAATTATAGAATATGATTTGTGTCCTTGAAGTTTGATCGTTACCTGAAGAATTGGCTGAAAACAATAAATGTTTAAATGTTGCAGTTTAGAGAATGTCTTTATTGTGTTGCCAAATGCTGAATGACAGAGAGCTTTAATTCTAACTAGCTTTAATTAGAAAGAGAAAAAAAAATCAAAGAGTAATGTCAACTAGAATCAAAATGAACCAGAACAAGAAGTACTTTTATTGGTTACAGAACATCAGCAATGTGTGGTATAGTCTTATTCACTTCCTTTATCAACAGTGAAAACACTGCAGGCCTCTCTGGGGAATTTCGGACCATCAGTCTTACTGAACGCGTAATCAGTTTAATAGGGGTTTTTCATTAGTAATATGATGCTCTTTTGGGCTGCAGAAAATTATTTATTTTTAAAGATAGGGTAAATGATTCTTGGCTTTAAAAAACAAAGCGATATGGTAAATGTTACTAATGATGGAAGAACTGGATGGTCAATGGAGTATATTCACTGATTTTTTGCTTAGCAGTGAATTAGCCTATTTTTGAGTATTATTTCTCTCAGCATAATTACTTTAAAGATGTTGACATCGAAAACAGTTACCACTTTTTTAGAGGTTATTATGTTATAATAGATAGCAGTTATCCAGGTAGAGGATTAGAGGAGAATATATCTGTGATTCTGCTCTATAAAGAACCTGGTTACCTTTCTTTTAAGATAACATTTTACTTTTCTTTTTTTTGAACCTGGTTATCTTTGTTTTAAGATAAGATTTTACCTTTCCTTTTTTTTGAACCTGGTTAACTTTCTTTTAAGATGAGATTTCTTCTTTTTCTTCCTCTTCTTCTCCTCCTCCTCCCTCCTCCTCCCTCCTCCTCCTCCCCCCCATCCCCCTCCTCCTCCTCCTCCTCTTATTCTTCGAGATGGAGTCTCACTCTTTTGCCCAGACTGGAATGCAGTGGCATGATCTCAGCTCACTGCAACCTCCACCTCCCAGGTTCAAGCAATTCTCCTGCCTCGTCCTCCTAAGTAGCTGGGACTACAGGTGCGTGCCACCGCACCTGGCTAATTTTTGTATTTTTAGTAGAGAGGGGGTTTTGCCATGTTGGACAGGCTGGTGTCAAACTCCTGACCTCAGGTGATCCACTTGCCTCGGCCTCTCAAAGTGCTGGGGTTATAGGCATGAGCCACTATGCCTGGCCAGATTTTACCTTTCTTGAAGATAAAAAAATTTACTCTGAAATTCTTTGTCTTTCTTCTTTCTCTTTGCTTCCCAGTGAAGTTCAATATTGTATCTTTTAACTCCCTTTGGGCCTCTCTTCATCTTCATCCAGTCTAGAACCCTTGGACCATTCCTTTAATCATTCGTTCACCACCATAGTCCAGTCTCTTGCTCCTTGAATTTTATTGAACCTAATTCAGTCCACCCAGGCTCAACCTAATCATTTGACATCTTGCTACTGTACCTGGGCTGCTGGCCACTGCTAGGTAAAACTTGCCCACCATGCAATTATAACCTCTATAAATTTATGGTCTCCAGTCTGTTAGGCCCTCAAGACAGCTTTAGCAATTCTTTCTTTTTTTTTTTTCCTGAGCAGTTCACCACCGTGTGGCTGTTTTTTACTTTCACCCCATCTTTAAGCTTCTTCCCTGACACCTATTAGTCTCAGAAGATGATCTTGGCCCCGGTTTTATGGAGGCCACCAGGCAGGAACTCGTAAACCTTCCTCTTTACTACCACCCCCATCACTACCTACAAATTTTCTTTTAACCCATGTCACTTTCTAGCTATTTTTCTACTTTGTCTCCCTAACTTTGCCACTAGGCTACTTGAAAGAGTAGGGCCCCCTTGTTTACTCTTCTACAGTCTGGCTTCCATCCAAACTGCTGCTGGCGAAGTTACCAGTGACCTAACTGGTAAAGCCTGTGAGATATTTTTCATCCTTTACCTTGTTTGGTTTTTCCATGGCATTTTATCTTTATTGAGCATTTTCTTCAACTTTTATGAAAACCTCTCTTTGAATCTTATCCCACCTTATCAGAAACAAAAGAAGCATTTAATGATTTACAAAATAATAATTGATGTGAACTCTTATAGCCCAATATTAATTATACTTTTAAGAATTGAATTATACTTTTATATAAATACAATTCAGTATTATACTTTAAAAATAAGAGATGCTGTAATCCCAGCACTTTGGGAGGCCGTGGTGGGTGGATCACGAGGTCAGGAGATCAAGACCATCCTGGCTAACATGGTGAAACCCCATCTCTACTAAAAATACAAAAAATTAGCCGGGCATGGTGATACGTGCCTGTAGTCCCAACTACTTGGGAGGCTGAGGTAGGAGAATCGCTTGAACCTGGGAGGTGGAGCTTGCAGTGAACTGAGATCGCACCGCTGCACTACAGCCAGGGCAACAGAGCAAGACTCCATCTCAAATAATTAAATAAATAAGAAATGCTTATGCCTTAAAATGCTTAACTCTAGTAATCATTTTACTGTGTGTGTGTATATATATATAAACGTGATATATACAGTAAATATGTACAATAAAATATGTACATTAAAAGTATAAGACATACATAATATACTAATTATTCCTTGGTTTCTTCTGCCCTAGTTAATGAAGGAGTTCCCCCTTCTGAGCATGTTCAATATCCATGAAAACCTTTTAGAAGCCCTTCTGGAACTACAAGCATATGCTGATGTTCAGGCAGTCTTAGCTAAGTATGATGGTAAGTCCTTGGGTATTTTTATTTACTTGACTGTTCCTCTTTTGATGTATTTTCCCTGATTAGATTGGAAGGGTCATTTTAAATAGCACAGCACTTTTGTAACCTTACTCTTACAGAATTTTCACCTACAGTTTTATGATGGTGTTTGGTAGAACCATAGAATTTCATGGTTAGCAAGGACCAGAAATGTGACATGGCGTGTGTCCCGTTCCTCTCCTTCCCTCCCTACAGGCTCCCCTCGTGCTCTCCCCATCAGGCAGTTATGTCTACTCTGCTCTATTACCTCTGTGGTCAGGAATCACCCAGAACCTCACAGGCAGTACCTATCCTGTAGGGGCAGCACTGACTGTTAGAGCTCTTGCTATAACTCCACATCGGTTCACTGTGACCACTGCCTACTGGGCACATTACCCTTTGGAGCAATGTAGAACAGCTAGTATCCCTTGCACATGTGACAACTCAGTAAATATTGGAAGATGAAATCAGATCTCCTTCATCGCAGCTCCTCTCCTTAGCAGCAGAATATCCTGATTTCTTTAAATAGCAGGCTTTGAAGTCCCTTTGCCATTCTGGTTACTCAGTCATGAAGTTATTCCATTTTGCCTGTTCCTAAGAAATCAGAAAAATAAGCTGGCACATCCTAGATATTTTAAAACTCTAATGTTCATATTGTCATTATCCATGAATTCATGATTTGATTAATTGGACAAAAATTGTCCACATAATTACCTGCCATGACATAGTTACTAAAATATCTGCGGAGCTTCATACTACTCTGCTTCATTTCAGCAACCATCTTCCTAAAGTGTTTGCTTGTAAAATGGATATCGGGAATGATTACTTATTATATAATCATTTTTTGGTTTATGAAATATTTTTTCTTTAGTAAGCATCTTCAGTGCATTTAAAGCATTATTCAGATTACAAAGCATATAGAGCAAACTATACCATTTGGGTCTTTTTTTTTTTAGAGATAGGGTCTTCCTCTCTGTTGCCCCAGATGGAGTAGTATAGTGGTGTGATCATAGTTCACTATAACCTTGAACTCCTGGGCTCCAGCCATCCTCCTGCTTCAGTCTCCCAAGTAACTAGGACTATAGGAGTGTGCCATCATACTTGGCTAATCTTTAGGGTTTATTTTTGTAGAGACTGGTTATCATTATGTTACCCAGGCTGGTCTCAAACTCCTAGCCTCAAGTGAACTTCTCACCTTGGCCTCCCAAAGCACTGGGAGTACAGGCGTGAGCCACCACACCTGGCCGTTGGGTCTTATTTTTGACACATTTCTTCATAAAGAATCTCTGAAATAGGTGAGAGTTGTTATCTCCTATAGTTGAGGGAACTCAGGCATTATGAGATTGTTTTTGTTTTTGTTTCATTTTCTTCAAATTCTTGCTCAAATTTATGGAAACTAACAGCCTTCAGCCAGTGATGGCATCATTTTGCCTGTGCAGACATGAGTACCCTGTGTAACAAGATATTTGCCACCTAGTATGGAACTGATTTTAGAAACAGAGAAAAGTATTTGTGGAGCACCTTAAAGTAAACAAAATAAACACTGTTCGGCTTTCATGTCAGCTCACTTGTATTCTCTATTTATATGCTAAAATCTTACTCATGGTTCAGCTAAACAGTGGTCCAAGCTTAGGGGTCTAAACCGTTGGGCTGCTTTGTAGGCAAAAATCCTCATACATTGACATTCTTTTATTACCAAAGGAATTCAGTCCCATGACCATGGGTTCAGGTGGCAGTACTCTTTTCCAAATGCCACTCTGTAGCCATCAGTGCCATAGCAATCCCTAATGCTGACCTGTACTCAATCTGATATATCAAGCCTTAAGAAATAAAACTTTAATTAGTAGAGCCTTTGGGACGGCAAGCCTCTTAAGGCTCCTTTCATGAAGATCTCGGTTCATTACAGAAATCATCAGCCTTGTGTTATAAGACTGATTGTAAAATAAAGAAATGGAACTCCCCATTGTCTCTAACTATCCCATTGCACAGCCTCTGTTCCACAACATCCAAAAGCTGATTTATTAGATTCTGATAACATATGTTCGCATCATTTGTTACAACAGCTCGTCCCACCCTCCACTGAAACTTGGCTCACACTTTGAAAAATTCTTTTGTTGCAAATGGACAAACTCACCATACCAAGGCCCTTGTGTTGAGCTTTGTTTATGTTGTGTACCTGGCAACAGAGATGATGTTCTTGTTCATTATTCATGGAAAAAGAGCCTCATTAGTGGCAGGACACATATTGTTGCTGAGATGCCTCGTTAGGGGTTTTGAGTTCAGCAGTTGTCAATAGAGTACAGATGACCTAACACCGAGTGAATTCTGAAGGGAGTTTTGGTGCTGACTTGGCTCAGGCCTGTATCATTTACAGTAGAAATATAATGAAGTGGCTGCTGAAGTTACTGTTCTTATGGGTTGAGCTGCAGCCACTGAAGATTGTGGAAAAACATGCCTCTTGTTTCTCACCCCATATCATGAAATGGGTTCTTTCAAGTTCATCCTTGCTGCTTTTCCTGGAGACGTCTACTGAACTGCTGGTTCCTTATCTGGCCCTGGGTGAGGAGGTGGGTACTTTAGAGGTCTTGGAGTACAGACAGCTCTTAGGGCGTCCTGTTCTTCACCCTGGTTCAGATGTCTAATCCATGAGATGCTGGAGACAGCACTTAGAATCTCAGCCCCTTCATCCCTCTCTGTAGAGCCACACCCAAAGCAGCAGGATTATATGTCCTTTTTACTAATTGGAATGCTCTGGTGGGGTAGCCATTTCTTGGATTGTTTTTGGGTACAGCAATCCTTCTTTATTACATTTGCTAGGTGGCTGAATTTTTTAAGTAGTATGCTGGGAACACAATGGGATTAGTTCTGCTTTTCTGACCTTTGCAAAAAGATTTAGAAAAATGGCAAGGCACTGGGGACCAGGGATGAGGGTGGTGAAGAACATATTTTGAGGGAAAGAAGGGAGGCAAAATGTATTTCCCTAGTCTCATTGTTCTTCACCACCTTAAAAAAAGTTTGGCTTTGAGTTCAGAAATCAGTAACAATCATATACTCCTGTGTCCCCACAAAGATTGCCAGTTGATTGGACATATCTCATCGTAGTCTGCAGTCTGATTTTTATTTTGCCATTGAGATAACTTCTAATGTTTATTATTCCAGGTGTTAGTCTAAAATACTGTATTGCTATTCTCAGGCGTTTTCATACTCTTGTGTGTTCAATTTGTGAATCAACATTATAGGTGGGCAGTTTTATTCTAGGTGACTGGTCCTGGTTCTATCATGTTCTTCACACAGTGACTAAAATAGCAGCAGCAACAGCTAGCATTTATTGAGTTCCTGTAATGTGTCAGTATCAGACATGATTCAAACCACAAGCATATTGGGTAGATACTATTGTTAGCCCCATTTTGCAGATATGGTAACTGGTACAAAAAGAAGGTAATTGCTCACAGGAAGAGCCTATAATATCAAAGTAAAGCCATGTAGATGTTATATTATGAGAGAAAAGTGGTCGACTGAGAACAGCTTCATTAAATATGATGTGAATTCCACAAGGAAAGGAAAGCCAGGATAAAAACTGAGGTGGTCTGACTCCAGACCCGTGCTTTTAACCACCACATTTACACTCTTTCTGCTGTTGGCAGTATTTATTTAAATTGTTTTTATGAATTCCATTGTTCTTGTTGTTGTTATTAGCCACAATTTATTGAGAACCTACCATGTGCCAAGCATGTTATTAGCTTGGCATTAGCTTTACCCTCACAATAACCCTGCAAGGAGGCAGTTATTCCATTTTAGCAGATGCAGAAACTGAGGCTTTGTGAGATTAAATAACTTACAAGCCCACATTCTTAGAAAACTGCAGAGCTGGGATTCAAATCCAGATCCAGCTGGCTTTAAATCCCATGTGTTTTCCATAAATGTAAGCCTTCCAAAAGTGATGTGCTTGGTCTCTCTCCTCTTACAAAGGCATGACTTGTGGGCTGAAGCCATGGTGCAGAATTTCAGTGATGCCACATTGTCTTGTAAGGTTCCTTTCTAATCATTTTTTAAGAACTGAGTGTATCTATATTTGCTTGTCTTTCTGAAACTGTCTTCAAACTATGACTTCCCATCTTCAATCAACTTGTATCTAATTTTTTTAATCACAAAAGGGATTTGATGTAAGGTGTTCATTTAATTTGAGATTTATCTTTTTCTTCAGTCATACATTTGCTATAAAGACAGCAATGTTTTCAAGATCATTAAGTCATGAGAACCTTCTTTTAGAAGCCATTGCAAAAATTGTTACAAGCTTTGGATTGCCTTTCAAAGAAGTTTATAGGCCACCTAGGTTGAAAACTTAAGTCCCAAAGATTAGGGTGGGAATGTGGAAAAGAATTCATGTGTTTCTTATTCATTGTCATTTGTGTTTTTCAATTTTAGAAGAATCTCATAGAGCGAGTGAACGCAGGTCTGAGCACTATAAGGTACCTTTGGGAGCATCTAGTTCTGCCTGTCTCTAGTTAGTGATCCTCGGGGATACCAGAAGGCAGTCATGGGTGGTGGGGAAGAGGTGGATCAGGTCCCAGCTCTGCCTTTCACCAACTGAGGGAGCTTGAGAAAATTACTTAACAATCCAAGCCTCGGTTTCTTTCTCTGGATATGAGCTCAAGGCTTAGAAAGGCTAAGTAACTTGCCCAAGATCACACAGTGGGTAATTTGTTGTGAGGATTAAAGTGGTTTAATCTATGTTAAGTGTTAAGAACAGTGTGGGACACACAGTAAGAGTTCAAATATTATTCGCTATTATAAAGAGCTGAAAGTGTCACTCCTAAACTTCACCACTATTCTTCATTAGTCTTGTTCAAATGGAAAACCATATATAAAATGTCACAATGAGGGAATAAGAGCCCAGTCTTATGCTCCGCAAAAAGACAATGTTATGACTTGTTATTAAAATTAATTATGGATCTAATAGGACATACAGATATTTGATTAGAACT